ATGTTCTCTCAGGGAACCTCCATGTGACCAATATGTAAAATGAAATGAAGGTCTATTTTGTTGGGCAATGCTAAACCAACAGATACTTTGCAACTGCAATAATGAAAAGGCAAAAAGAGGCCACATAGAAGCTGCATAAAAGCAAGCAGATTTCTGTTAGTGGGAACAGAGAACAAACCACAGCTGCACTTTTTTTCAAAGTTGAATTTGGCGCCTGGAATCCTCAGCTGGCTAGAGCCGTGACATCAGCAGCTTCAAGCCGATTGGGTACATGAGAACTCATTAGCCCATGCCTCAGCTATAGGCTTCGGGGTGGAGAATGTATACAAATTCCAGAAAGACGTTTTGACAGCTCACCAACCAATAGAGCAGAAGCAAATCCTGAAAACAGGCCGTTTAAAAACTGTGCTAACTGGAAGCTGCTTTATTCAGACAAATCCATCCATGCAAACAACAAGCAATCATCTGTGACCGACAAATACAGGAACATCAGCACCAGAGGGAGAACGTAACAAAATCATCAACCGAACTGCACAGTCCTCACTTTGATACAATAGTAAGATACAAAAAGTACAGAGTAAGACTGAAACATTGAAACAAATGTAACAAAGTAGCAAACAATATCTGCTGCACTGACATGTTATAAAGTGTGAAGCTTCCAATACTCTTTAGTTTACATGAATTTTATTGCAGCTTCTGTAGCCTCTACAGACACTGTTTTAGAAAGAAAAATACAGAAAAAAAAAAATTAATAATCAAAAAAACAACTGAACGCTCTATGGGCCTCTACTGATCTCATCAGATGCTAGAAATGGCACGGCTCTCCTGGATATAGTGTCCTCTGCGATGAATCCCAACCTCCATCATGGATGTACAGGACACGGTTGGATTGTTTAACCCCCTCACGCCGGCGCCTCCTGGCCCTTTAAGGGGTTTCTGACGCGGGGTTTAGGGGCATGTGACCGCCGTGATGGGGCGGTCACATGATCGCAACCTTTCCGTGGGATGCCGACATGTGCTGGGAGCACGCGCTCTCAACACGTTGGTTAACAAATGGCACGCAAATATGCGGCCGCTCAGCGTCAAAGCCCAGCCGCCAAGAGTGCACATATTTGCGTACGCTCAGAGTGAAGAGGTTAATACAATCAGAAAAAGGACAGAGTTGACCTATTTTTATGGTCTAAGGCAGGGGTGTCAAACTGGCGGCCCTCCAGCTGTTACAAAACTACAAGTCCCATCATGCCTCTACCTTTGGGAGTCATGCTTGTAACTGTCAATCTTGCAATGCCTCATGGGACTCGTAGTTTGGCAACACCTGAAGGGCTGCCAGTTTGACACCCGTGGTCTAAGGCATGGGTCTCCAAACTTTCTAAACAAAGGGCCAGTTTATTGTGCTTCAGAAGGGCCGGAGTGTGACCAGCGGGAGTGGAAATTTTCTTGGCATCAATGGGATTAAAAATTGCCACATTTGGTATGAGAAGGAATACTGTCCCACTGTTGGTATCATTGGGAGGAATAGTGCCCCGTCATTGGTGTCAGTGGGAGGAATAGTGCCCCGTCATTGGTGTCAGTGGGAGGAATAGTGCCCCGTCATTGGTGTCAGAGGTAGAAATAGTGCCCCGTCATTGGTGTCAGAGGTAGAAATAGTGCCCCGTCATTGGTGTCAGAGGTAGAAATAGTGCCCCGTCATTGGTGTCAGTGGGAGGAATAGTGCCCCATCATTGGTATCAGTGGGAGGAATAGTGCCCCATCATTGGTGTCAGTGGGAGGAATAGTGCCCCATCATTGGTGTCAGTGGGAGGAATAGTGCCCCATCATTGGTGTCAGTGGGAGGAATAGTGCCCCATCATTGGTGTCAGTGGGAGGAATAGTGCCCCATCATTGGTGTCAGTGGGAGGAATAGTGCCCCATCATTGGTGTCAGTGGGAGGAATAGTGCCCCATCATTGGTGTCAGTGGGAGGAATAGTGCCCCATCATTGGTGTCAGTGGGAGGAATAGTGCCCCATCATTGGTGTCAGTGGGAGGAATAGTGTCTCCTATCAGTGGAAGGAATATTGCCCCAAGGGCCGGATAAAGGCAAAGGGCCACATCCGGCCCCAGGGCCGCAGTTTGGAGAACACTGGTCTACGCATATATGGATGTTCATCCCAAGCAGGTTTTAAATCTGCCTTTATCACTACCCCTGCTGGAAGTCTGCTCCAAGTATCCACTACTCCTTCATTCACATAATCCCCTTCCTTTTGCACTAGCAGACATTGTCCATCACTGACTGTGCATGCAAGTGTGACATGTATTCCTCCCCTTGGCATTCTACTGAGGATAAAACCACGTGATCGGTGCACACATACAGTCTGCCTGTCCACTGCCATCCGCCTAGAACAACACAGCTGCGGAGCAGATCCATCCCTGGCTGTGTGCTATCGATGACATGCAGAATGGCCACCACTAGGGGGGAGAGCATGAGCTCCCATAGCCCCGACCCCGCCCTCCTCCTCTCATCGGAGCCCAGCGCCGGTCTTCTTGTCCAAGCCCTGGCACCGCCCTCCCCTCCGAGCCCCCTGCCCGATCGCCGACTCCACCTTCCCCTCAAAAAGGTCAGTACACGCCTCTTAACCCCGCCCTTCCCTCCTGTCCGACTCTGCGCCCCGCCCACCTCCTCCCCTGTCCGATTACGATCCCCGCCGTCCCCTCCTGTCTCTGCGCCCCGCCCTCCCCCTCTCCTGTCCCCGCCCTCCCCTCCTCCTGTCTGTCTCCGATCCTCCTGCTGGGTAAACCCGCCATTTTTCTTTGTGGATTTTAAAAAGCGCAGAAGTGCAGCGCTGGCTGGCAGGGAGCGGAGAGGGGGAAGGGGGGCAGCTGCATCTCCCCCACAATAGGGCCCGATCACCCCCAAACCACCTGTACACAGCTGTGGCCTACACCCTGCACTCCACATCCGCACACAGCCCGCCTGAACTACAACAGCCGCTGCTGGGACTTGTAGTACACCAACGTTCCTTCTGCCCAATCATCAGTGTTAGGCTAGCAATGGGACATGCTGCGACTTATAGTGCACCACGGCCTCCTAATCTTCCCAGCTGTCAAATCAGCTAAGTGCTGGGCCAGCAGTGCATGCTGGGACTTGTAGCATGCTGCCCACTCGCAGCAGTGCATGCTGGGACCTATAGTTCACCAGAGCAGCTTTCTTCCCATCTAACTAGCAATGCATGCTGGGGACTGTCCAATCATCAGTGTGAAGTCTAGTACTGCATGCTGGGACTTTTAGTTCAGCTGAGAACAAAACCTTCCCAATTATCAGACTGGCAATGTATGCTGGAGCTTGTAGTTCACCAGGGCTGCCTCTGCCAGCTGTCATACCTGCTTACTCAGCATTGCATTCTGGGACTTGTAGTTCAACCTGACTTTACAATCAGCTCCTTGCTGGGCTTGCCATGGATGCTGGGACTTGCAGTTCACCAGCTCTGCTTCCTTCACAGCTGCCCAATCAGCTGTGTTCTAGGCTACCAAAGCATGATGGAACTTGTAGCTTGCTGGAAATACCTTCTTCCCATCTAACAATGCATGCTGGGACTTGCAGTTCACCAAGAACCAAAACCCCACCTTTCCAATCCCCCCCATCTACCAAATCAGCTAAATGTTAGACTGGCAATGCATGCTGGGACTTGTACTTCACCAATCATCAGCTCAGTGTGAGACTGGCAATGCATGCTGGGACTTGTACTTCACTGGAAATACCTTCTTGCCGCCTAACAGCACATGCTGGAACTTGTAGTTCACAAAGACCAAAATCTGCCTCCCCCCCCCCCCCAATCACACCCCCACCAGCTGTCAAGGCCACCGGTTCTTGGCTCCATCAGCTGAATAACTGGCGAAGCAATGCATGCTGAGACCTGTAGTTCACCGATAAATTTACCCAATCAGCTCAGTATTAGACCAGCAATGCATGCAGGGCCTTGTAGTTAAGACCAAACACTTTTTCTAATCACCGCCCCCTCCTAGCTATCAAATGTATGCTGGGAGTTGTAGTTCACCGGAAATGCCTTCTTCCAGCCTACCTAGCAATGCATGCTGAGACTTATAGTTCACCAAAGCTGCACAATCAGCTTGTTGCCGGGCTAAGCAATGCATGCTGAGACTTGTAGTTCAAAGACCTAAATCTACACCCCCCCCCCATCAGCTCAGTACCCAACTAATCAATGCATGCTGGGCCTTTTCATTAACCAGAAATGCCTTCTTCCTAGCTTGCTAAGCAATGCATGCTGGGACTTGTAGTTCATAGACTTAACCTGCCTTCCCATCAGCTCAGGACCCGGCTAAGCAATGCATGCTGGGACTTGTAGTTCACAAAGACAACCTGCCTTCCCCCATCAGCTCAGTACCCGGCTAGGCAATGCATGCTGGTACTTGTAGTTCGCCAGGGCTGACCAAACAGCATGCTGCCGGGCTAAGCAATGCATGCTAGGCCTTTTAGTTAACCAGAAATGTCTTTTTACTAGCTTGCTAAGCAATGCTGGAACTTGTAGTTCACCAAAGATACCCAATCTGCTTGTTGCTGTGCAAGCAACGCATGCTGGCACTTGTAGTTCACCTGAAACACCTATTTCCGAGCTAGCAACATGCTGGCACTTGTAGTTCACCTGAAACACCTATTTCCAAGCTAGCAACATGCTGGGACTTGTAGTTCACCAGAGCTTGTTTTCAGGCCAAGCAATGCATGCTGGGCCGTTTAGGTAACCGGAAATGCCCTCTTCCCAGCTTGCCAACAATGCATGCTGGGACTTGTAGTTCACCAGGGACCGAAACCCGCTTTCTGCCCACCACCCTCCAGCTGTCAAGTCCGCCGGTTCCACTAACTCAGTATCCGGCTAAGCAGAGCATGCTGGGACTTGTAGTCTGCCGGGGTCCTAGTGTGCCGTATATAAAGGTGTAGATCCAGCTGTAGACCGCAGGGCCTGCCGGGACTTGTAGTCCTCCCTGCCCTCTCCCGCCTTCCACTCACCGGTGTTGTAGACATGGAGCTCATCCACGATGCCTTCGTTGCCTCCACCGAACACCACGATCAGCTCCTTGATGGCCACAGCCCGGTGTCCATGCCGGGGCCTCGGGACGGGGCCTGACCAGCCCACCACTCGTTTCCATCGGGGCTGCAGGGCGGCTGATCCAGGATTCACCGCCGGGGAAGAAGCCATGCTGGCGGCGAAGAGGGAGGGTGGCGGGCTCTTCCTTTAGCAGAAGCGGGGAAAGTGTGTGAAATGTATGAGGGGGCGAGAAGGCCTCCGAGTCCGGGCTTGATGTGATAAAACCGGTGGGATACAAGGAGAGAGGTGGGCTGCGGCCTAGCCGGCAATCACTGAGGCGCTGAGCGCTCCATGGGAGCCGCCATTTTAAGACGGCGGCCGGAGAGAGAAAACAATCCGCCTGAGGTGTTCCCCGCGCCTCTCACACCGGTCTGTGCAGCCCCGACTGCCCCCCCGCTCCTCACAGCCGGCCCGCCTGCTTCTCTGTCCACTCAGCTCCGCTCTTCTCTCTCACAGCCGCCCGGGAGCGCCAGAGCTGAGGGAGTCCATGGGAGCCGCCATCTTGTGCCGTCCAAACAAACCAATAAAGGAGAATCAAAGATGGCGGCGAGCGGGGCGACAACACACCGACCCCAACCCGCCGGGGGGAGGAGGGAAGGAGGGGGTGGCCCGGACCGCGGCGGCCTCAAAAACCCGGCTGCGTGAAACAGGGGGAGCACCGGCACTAAGAAGCGGCTGGTCCGCCGGAGATGGAGGAGGAACGTGAAGGCTCCACCCCCGCCGCCACCGCTTATCTCCCTGAACCGGGCCGATCGGAGGGGAAAACCGGCCAAAATGACCGAAGCCGAGGACGAGGCGGATGAGGGCGATTCAAAACCAGTCAGCCGCCGGGGGAATCGGTGAGCGAACACGGGATAGGGCACCGGAGCCTCTTTTCACGCCTCCCTGGGAGCCGCCATCTTGTCAGCGACCGCCTCCCGTCTTCCTCCTCCTCCGGAGACAATAAGATGGAGGCGGGGACTGCGCCGCGCGGTGTCGAGAGGAGAGGGAGGAGGCGGGGCAGAGAGACGGACTGCGGCCTGTGTGCAAAAATTACCCTCTATACAAATCTGACAGGAACCGTTCTTCCAATACAAGACCATGGAAGACCACATAGAGTACAAAGAGAAACACAGCACTGTGCGACATCTACTCGGAGAGGACTGTGGGAGCAATCCCCCCAAAAGACACGATTGGAACACACACGGTTCTTGGAAGAAAATATAACTACCAATTATATATAGATATGCACAATTAGGAGATACCTTGTTCCAATAATAGAATTTAAAAAATTACAAAATATAATAAAATGTAAATGATATATACAGTATACATACTATACTTACTGTACAAATATATATACTCACAATTATGAGAGAGATTGTCCCTTCAATATAGGAAAAATCAAAACATAATGTATATATTAAATTAAATATATGTTCCAATACTATTGTACAAAATATGTAAATTTTATTATTTTATTTTGTATTATATCCTGTGTGTGTATATATATATATATATATATATATATATATATATTATATATATATATATATATGTGTGTGTGTATATAGTATGTGTGTGTGTATATATAAGTGTGTGTGTGTTATGTATGTATATATATATATGTATATATATATATGTGTGTGTGTATGTGTGTATATATATATATGTATATATATATATATATATATATATATATATATATATATATATGTGTGTGTGTGTGTATATATATATATATATATGTGTGTGTATATATATATATATATATGTGTGTGTGTGTATATATATATATATATATATATATATATATATATGTATATATGTGTGTGTGTGTGTGTATATATATATATATATATATATATTATATATATATATATGTGTGTGTGTGTGTATATATATATATATATATAATATATATATATATATATATTATATATATATATATATGTGTGTGTGTATATATATATATATATATATATATATATATATATATGTGTGTGTGTGTGTGTATATGTATATATATATATAGTGTGTGTGTGTATGTATATATATATATATATATGTGTGTGTGTTCCGATAATAATTTATCCCGCACAAGCACCGGGCCAGGGTTGTGGTGAAAAGGCCCTTGTCCTCTTCAACATGGGGACCCCCCATTTGGTCATGTGGCCTAGTCTGGTTCGCGGGGGAGGGCCACTCGCTCGTCACCCACATTTCCTGGTCTGCCGGACTGTAGGCTCAGTTATAGGTCTGGTATGGATTTTGGGGAGGACCCCTACACCATTTAATAACATTTTGGTGTGGGGTTCCCCTCAAAATCCATACCCAGACCTAATGGTCTGTTTTGACATTTTTTTTAATATTGCTTTTGTTTACATTCTGCTGTCGGTGGGGAACCCTACTGACTTCACATGAGTCATGGGTTTTAAAATGCGGCGGCCGCCTGCTCCAAGAACCATGGTATTTACTGGTTGCTAGGGATGCGATACCCACCTGCTCCTTAACAACCATGTTGTTTACTGGCTGTTAAGTACACCAGCTACCACCGGTTCCTTAACCTACTGCTAGATTTCACTACTAAAATACTGCATCACTTCTTAAAATAGCTCATGTTGTATTTTAGTAGCATTTTTAGTGAATTTAAAAAAAAAAAGTGAAAAAACGCTAAGAGGCAGTTCTTAAAACAGTACATATCACTTAGTGAATTGAGCCCTGTATGATTCACTTCTGATATGTTTTCCTAAAACCAAGAGAAAAATGGTGACGGGGGTTCTCTATGGTGCCTATGGTTCACATCTGATCGCTCAAACAGGCACCATAGAGAACTATTGATTTTTTAAGTGTGAGCGTTTATGGAGCATCGTACACTGGGATAATATGGAATACGTGAGCCGATTTGTACGCATTGTGGCGTATGGAGCATCGTACACTGGGATAATATGGAATACGTTAGTGTATTTGTACGCATTGTGGTGTATGGAGCATCGTACACTTGGGTAATATGGAATACGTGAGGCGATTTGTACGCATTGTGGTGTATGGAGCATCATACACTGGGATAATATGGAATACATGAGGTGATTTGTGCGCATCGTGGTGTATGGAGCATCGTACACTTGGGTAATATGGAATACATGAGGTGATTTGTGCGCATCGTGGTGTATGGAGCATCGTACACTTGGGTAATATGGAATATGTGAGGCGATTTGTAAGCATTGTGGTGTATGGAGCATCGCACAATGGGATAATATAGAATATGTGAGGTGATTTGTACGCATTGTGGTATATGGAGCATCGTACACTGGGATAATATGGAATACATGAGGCGATTTGTGCGCATTGTGGTGTATGGAGCATCGCACAATGGGATAATATAGAATATGTGAGGTGATTTGTACGCATTTTGGTATATGGAGCATCGTACACTGGGATAATATAGAACCATGAGGTGATTTGTATGCATTGTTGTGTATGGAGCATCGTACACTGGGATAATATGGAATACGTGAGGTAATTTGTACGCCTTGTGCTGTATGGAGCATCGTACGCTGGGATAATATAGAACCATGAGGTGATTTGTACGCATTGTGGTGTATGGAGTACCGCACTGGGATAATATAGAATACGTGAGGTAATTTGTACGCATTGTGGTGCATCGTACACTGGGATAATATGGAATACGTGAGGCGATTTGTACACCTTGTGCTGTATGGAGCACCATACACTGGGATAATATAGAATCATGAGGCGATTTGTACCTATTGCGGTGTATGGAGCTTTGTACTGACAATTGAACTGTGAGGTGATATGTACACATCTGAGGCCAGTCATTTCATAGGGTATATTATATGTGAGAGTCTACAATCACTTCAGATATTACAGTATTATGAGGTGCTTTGTACAGTTTTCTGTATGGAGCATTGTACTCCTCCGCCCGACTCTGCTCGTACTCAGACGTCTCAGCGCCCAGCCGCCATTAGCGCGCTCTCATTGGCTGATTCATGACGAGACGTTGGCAGGGAGACGCCGAAGAAGCTTTCCTGCCTGTGTGGGAGCCGCCATGTTGGAACGTAGCCGCACCCTCCACGTCTGGAACACAAACACAAGCTGTAGGAGGAAAACGACTCCATAGCCTCTTATAAACCAATAACATGACAGGCAGCAGGTGTAGGCGACTTATACGGCTTTGTCAGCTGCACGGCTTACCGCACCCTCCAGTTTACCGTGCGACAAAGAAACTGCTATTCTATTATATTGTATTTGCCAGGCACCATGTCATGTTAACGGACGCCGGCCGCCATCTTGTCGACCACTCCTCCCCCTTACAGGAGGAAGACACAGTAATGGCGGCCGCTCCTTCCTGCGTGCCCGGATGTTGATTGGACTACAAAGGGAGAGGCGCTCGGCACGACCTAAACCGAGTCGGATTTTTTACATTTGGGCAGTGAAAACCCGCCAGCTGACGCTTTAATGGCATTTCTCAGCCCCACACGGCCACAACACAGCACGTTTGGCTCTATTTTGCCTGCGCGCCGCCTTTCTCCCAGTAACTGTCATGGCGCCTCCTCGACAAGAGCGGCCGCCATCTTACAATTCAGTTCCCAGCAACGGTTGCTAAGGCTGCTGGCACGAGGTAAAGGATGTCGCCATTTTGGTGTGTCTACCCCTCCCCCCAGTTTGTTTTGCGAGAGGCGGGAAACATGGCGGCCTCATTTACATATATACGTAAGAAGAGGAGAGATGGAAGCCGAGGCTTCTAGAAACAAAAGTTGAATAAGCTTGAGGGGGAAACCTTTATATTAGTGTGTTGTAGACATTGCTGGGTGATAATAAAACATGTCCTTGCTTCACAGTCCTGTGCTGATTACTGAGGTGATGGTCACACCAGAAAGGGATGCAGGAAACCTGCACCGTGTTCAAAACGTACTGCTAAAACGATCTGCTGAGGGTGTTCGTTGGAAACACACTGTATTGATCTGCAGCCAATTGTACGGTAGAGAAATACCATCCAATCTGGTTGCATTGCGGTTTTTCTAACCGCTTACCTGCTGCCGTATAGCAGACACACTGCTGCACGGCGGCACGGGTGTGCAAAATTATATATATATATATATATATGTGTGATT